AATAGCCTTTGCCAACCATGCCAGCTCATCTATGCACAGTGTGGATCCCCTCACACATTCCAAATGGTCATGGCTCCAAAGCCACAAGTTTTCATAAAGAGAAGTGTGTGTGTGTGTGTGTGTGTGTGTGTGTGTGTGTGTGTGCGTGGTGTGTGTTGTGTTGCCACAGCACGCAACGGTTTCCATTCCTGCCTAAGCTATTCCAGTCAGCAGGATGTTGGCATTCCCTGGGAATCCTCCATGACCACTTCGTATAGACCTCTCCAGTGCCCCCGCTTGGACACACCACGAGTACCCCTTCTGAGGCAGGCACCCTGGGGCCTGGAACACTCTTGAACTTCACTGGCTCTACCAGATCCAAGGGAATCCAAGCCCCTGAATCTAAAATGCTCCTCAGGCCCATACAAGGACTGCATTGACAGGACTAACAGAAACCAGTCAGGAATCCCAAAGCTGCAACTACTCACATACTCCTCGGGCTCTATGATTAGGTTCCACACTGGCCTGAGCACACTGTCATTTCAGTTGTCTCAGGTAAGCACTAAGGATTCCAGGCATGCTTTTCCTCCTCCTCCTCCTCCCTTCCAGGCACCTTCAAGCTTCAAGCACTCCTCCCTTCACTCTCCAAGAGCCTCCACCTCCTTTACCACCAGGAATGGCAGGCTTTACAGCCTGACCTACAATTAGATTCTGCTGGGAATCCTATGAGAGTTGACCCAGCCAATTAAGTCAGGAAGTCACTCTCTAAATTTGACATGTCCATCATTCTCACCCAAAATGGCAGCATTGATTTGGTGGGCTAAGGCTTTGAGGTTAATTTTACTTAATCCAGTAAAAACTGCATTAGGCTCCCCCCACCTCACTGGTTTACTCATTTCTCAATTTTGGTTTTAATAAACTCAGCATTGTAAATACCTTATTAAGTAACCCTCAATACTCCCCCGCAGAACTCGCACATCTCCACCCTGGAGCTGCTGCCTGCAAGGGCTGCTGTGGTGTTGCCTTTGGTGTACCTGTGTCCCCACTGGTGAACCTGTTTATCTCCAACCTCATTTCCAAAGAGGACTTAGGGCAATATGTGCGGTGGGCTAAGGCTTTGAGGTTAATTTTACTTAATCCAGTAAAAACTGCATTAGGCTCCCCCCACCTCACTGGTTTACTCATTTCTCAATTTTGGTTTTAATAAACTCAGCATTGTAAATACCTTATTAAGTAACCCTCAATACTCCCCCGCAGAACTCGCACATCTCCACCCTGGAGCTGCTGCCTGCAAGGGCTGCTGTGGTGTTGCCTTTGGTGTACCTGTGTCCCCACTGGTGAATCTGTTTATCTCCAACCTCATTTCCAAAGAGGACTTAGGGCAATATGTGTGTGTGTACCTACACCCACAAACGGAAAGATAATCTCTACTAAAGTCAAACTCTGCTTGGGCCACTTCCTCCACCTTGAGAAGACTATCTGCTACCCCAGTGTGTTGCTCTGGTGGACTAGGCTGTGCCAAAAGGAGCCCACACACATATGCACCCGAACACAGTTACACTGGAGACTGGATATCATCTTTAATTAATAATGCCATAGGCCAACATCTTTTCTGTTGCTGTAGCAAATGTTTTGTGTGTGTGTGTGTGTGTGTGTGTGTGTGTGTGTGTGTGTGTGTGTGTGTGTTCCTGAACAGATGAGGGGCTAGCTCAGACTCCCAAGCAGGTCTCGGCCAACGACTTTGTTGAGCAGCAACTACAAGAGTTTCCAGAGAGGCTCGGAGGCCAGACTCCTGCTTCCCATGGTCTGTAGCCTCCCTTTCTCATGGCCACTATCATGAATCGAGGGCAAGGCTGAGGCTTATGCCAGCCCAGATGAAAGGGCTTCTCAGCGAAGATCAGCCTCCAGTCCCCAGCCCTCACTGCCTCTGCCCAGAGGGATGGCCCTGGGTGAAGCACAGACTGCTAGGCAGAGGTGGACAACCTGGCCTGGCCCTGGTACCCTGTCACACTGGGGCAGCACCACAATGGCCCAGCCCTGGGCAGAGAATCCACAGCTACTGGGGCCATTTGTTTAGTTCCTTTTGGAGATAATCAGGATGTAGCCCCAGGTTTTCTTGGGACCAGCCAGAGGGCCAGCATTGGCTAACGATGGCCACAAGAAGTTATTTCCAACCCAAACTAAGAACCTGCCCTCCTGCCACCTCCACTCTCCAGTTCCTCACATGCCCAGTAGGTCTGCAGCCCAGACATGGCAGGGGATGGTCAGTGTCATGGTGGGTCACAAGGCAGCCATGAGAGACCTGGGTTGAACTGGACCTGCAGCCATGTGTCAGCCTGAAGCCAGCCCTCTCCCCCATGGTCAATGCCACACAAGGCTCTCTGAAGCAGGATGGGACCCCCACAGACAAGGCAGCAAATTATTGGCCTAGAGGGAGAAAACCAAACTGGCTCCACTGTCCCATCTCCACCTGCTCTGTGCCTTAGGAAGGCAAGGAGCTCGAGTCCCCAGGATGGTGGTATCAGCTGTTGGGGAAGCACCGTTGTCCAGGTGAGGCCTCGGGCCGGAAGCTGTGTTTGTTCAGGGGGCTTGGGTAATAGGTGGTTGTGTACACATTGGTCTGCTGCAGTGGGTAGAAGTTGGCTCTGTCATCGGGGATCAGGTTATTCTTGTTCAGCGTCTGTGGGAGGAGGAAGGAACCAGAGAAGAAGGAGTGAGGGGAGAGATGGGGAAGGGGACAAGCCAGGGCAAGGTGGCCAGGAGCCAGCCAGTGAAGGAACACTCAGACTGCTGACACAGTGCCTGCTCACACCACCACTGCCGCCTCCCGAGCGCCAGCCCAGTTAAACCCAGCTTAGGGCCAGAACCACTGTGCCCTTCACCCTGCCCCTCTACCCTGCCCTCTGCTTCTGCAGCACGGCTCCCACCTTGAACTCCATGGGTGTGTACTTCTCGTTCTTGGGCGTGCCTCCACTCTTGTAGTGCAGGTGGTTGGGGGTGGCGGGATGGACCAACGTGGACTCTTGGGACTGGCGCTGGCAGTGCTGGCAAGACAGATACACTGCCAAGGTCAGGAGTCCAGAGCCTAGGAAGCATGAGACACCGGTGGCCACCAGGTGGATGAGACTGAACCCTGGGAGGAAGAGAGGCAGGTGATAAGAAAAGGGCCACTGAGAGACTTCTGATTGCCTCCCTGGGGGCAGAAACAGCAGTAGAAGGCTCTGAGACACAATGGAAACAGGGAGGCTGGGTAACTTGTCACTGGGGGCCTCTCTCACAGGACAATCTGTGGCTTAGAGTTGACTCTTCCTTGGGTACAGACTGATGATGGCCTCCCAGCTGGGGGGCATGGATGGGATCTACCCAGACCCCCCTACACATGGCCTCAAAGCAGTGGGGCACCCCCTGCTTGGCTGTCTGGAGCGGGAGGTGGGAAGAATTCAGACTCTGGATTGGGGTGGAGGAGGGGTAGAAAGACAGAGTCATAAGGTGCGGCTGGTTGCTTTTACCTCCGCAGCCGGTGGCCTCTTCCATGCTGGACGCTGGCAGGATCACTGCAAGAAGACAAGGGGAAAAGGTGTCAGGAGTAGAGAGGAGAGGAGGGGTCCCTCCTGGGCTAGGTGCGTCTCTGGGAGGACCGCTGGGTGAGCACTGAGCTATAGGACAGGGCCTGGGGGCCTTCATCCCCCCCCCCC